CAGAAATATCAAAATAAGTTAAATTAAGTATTGAGAAAACGTACTATACAAGAAAAATACACATAGTTGAACTTAAAAAACACCAATGAGAACTGCATACTTTATTAATATTCTTTAACAACTGAAATGATTTCTATACAGAAAGAAGCCAACATTACGTATCTTCAGAGAAAAGACAGTTATATTTGGGGAGGTCAAAGAATGCTACAGCTAAAAAAAAAAAGATGAAATGTTACAGCTTGCACACCAAAATTAAAAATGAAATGAAATTAAAAAAATGAAATGATTACCAAGGTAATGCAGGTCAAGGGATCAAAGGTGAAGGGTCACACATTATTAAAAAGAAATCCAAAAGGACGTCTGCATCAAGATCTCTGCAAAACAAAGGAGCTACAGTAAGTACAACTGATACCTTTCATGGAATCAAATCAAAGTTCTTGAAAACAAACTATTCCCAATCCAAATACGGTAAAGTGCGAGACGCTTGATATATCAGAACCTTCTGCAATCACAACCATTCTTTGGCAAGGAAGATCTACTTTTACTTTTAGTGCTAATTTTCTTTTAATTTCTCTCTAAAACAGCTTGTGGAAGTCTTTCCATGCAAGCACATCCTTGAAGCATTGGTTTCTTATCAAACAAAACATGCTTTTATAGCGCAAGATAACAAAAAGAACCCACATTGGTAAGCCAACTCACGACCTCAGTGCTCGAGGTATGGCGCACAAAAAAAGCAGTACGATTATGCTACTGGTAAGTTACATTCTTTAAGGAAATTATTATTTAGAAACACGTAACTGTCAAATGGGCTTTGGTATAGCTTTTATAACATCTGTTTTCATGGTAAGTATATGTTCATTTGCAAGAGTTTGCTTTATTCGTTGTTACTGTGGAAATATTGTAATTATTGACACATACATACACTGAACTACTAACATCATAATGTATCAGTTTAACACTATAATAAAAGAGTAATTTAAATGTAGTTACTGAGACAAAGTCCTCTCCTGCTAGAATTTCAATTACACAGAAGCTATTAAAAAAAATCTCTGGTACCCATTTTCAAGTAAGATAGAGTCAATTATCTTACCAAATTTATGCAGAAATGGTATTATTTACACCAAATAACTTTAAAAGCAAGACACCCACACAGGTCATTATTTTTTTTTTCAGCTTTCCTCCCGTCTCCCTCTTTCTCTGCCTTTCAAAATTAAAGTTCAGGAATCTTTCATCTGGACCAAAATAGCTTTATATTTGAAGCAAAGAAACAAGCAAAACCCACAAAACTTTCTCTTAATAAAGAAACCACTAATGATACAAAGTCTATATATTCAGCGTTGAAGTGCAATGCCATGATTTAATCTGCTGGTGAATTTTTCCAGAAAAAGTATTACATCTTTCTGCATCGTTTCAGCTTTACATGTATCTTAGCTAAGAATCAGCTGAAGAAAAATTCGTCAAGTCCTATATTTTAATAACCCATTCATCAGTAATATCTGGCAAACTCTCCTGAAAAAGCTACTGCCACATGCTGGAGCCAAAACTAAATTCTTGTCATTGTTTTCAACATTTATCAATTGGAACTCTTTATAGCCAAGTCAACTCAATAACATCTTTTTTGTTTTTCTTTCTCAATTAACATTTGATTTTTCTCCTGCTACAGTGTAATTCTCAAATACTTGAGCATTAAAACAGATAACTGCCAGAGTATCTTATGACATGGAAAGAAAAGATCCCGAAAAAGAAAAGCTTAGAGCAAGCAATGAATAAGTAGACTTTAAAAGAAACTAATGCTCTCCCTTTTGCCTCACCTCTATCTTAAAACAAACAAAAAGGAAACCTGAAGAACAGAGTTTGATCAATAAATTTAAATACAGATGTGACAACTGATCAGCTTTGTGTTTGTACAAGTTTCTAGTTGGGGACTGTCACAAGTATTAGCTTTTTGAGATTTTGTGCTGGATTCATCTTTTATAGGTTAGTTCCCATCTTTACAAGAATTTTTTCATTTTAATCTGGCAACAATTACACTGAGCCCTAGCTTTTAAGAATGTTAGACTAACATACCTAAATCCTATGATCAGGAAACTATTTACAGTTGAGGAAAAAAAAGAGCTTACTTCACTGCTCTGTTTTCCTCATCTGGACAGAACATACTTGAGGTGTGCATTTTCTTTCTTGCCTCGTTTCCCCAAAGAAACAAGACTAACGTCATCATCCCGTTTGTACTTCTGTCACTCTGCTTCCTATAACATGAAATATCTTGACCCTGTTGTTGGTAAGCTTCAACTTTGTTTCATAGCAAGGAAAACCTCAAATATATTAAATACCTACAGACTGCTTGAAATAGCAAGAGCTGGATACAGAAGAGACACCAAATTAAGTGCAACTGCTGTAAAAGAAGCCTGTAACAGGAAATTAATTATATACTGGGAATTGGGGAAACCACACAAAGAAAGGTAAAGGACACGTTATAACTGCAGAGAAAGCTCCCTTTAATTCTTACAAGCTTACTAGATACAAGATAGCCCAAAGCAGATAGAAAGCCACAGAAAATCAAAAAGCAGACATTCGGCTGCTCACAAAGAGAACTGTACCTCTAGCACAGGTGGAATTCTTCATGCTCTTGTTCCATTTGTACTACAGGTATAAAACAACTCGGCTCTTATGGATCAGCAAAAAAAGGGCAAGATCTACTGTATTTGGTTATCTTTTGATGCTTTTCCAAATATGGCTTGAAAATGGATTTACTCCATAGGCCCTATGCCTGTTTTTATGATCGACATACACTTTAATTCAATATGATTTACCGAAGTTATCACTTAAGCTGGGACATTCCCTAGCAATTTAGCATCGTTCCACCAGTTGCTGTAAAAGCACTGACTCGGTGTGCTTTCTAAACAGCCTTTGATGTACTTCTTTCCAAGGGAGAGCATAGTCTGTTCTGTTCTCTCCTGTCCACAACTGTACTTCAATCTGCTGCTACTGCAGTTTCCCGTATTTGTCTACTCAGCTCAGCTATTACTGTGACAGCCCGTTCAGGGCAGTTCAAATTAAAACAAAAACACTGCAGTATAAAGAAGTCTGTCACCTGCCTGCTTTCAGAAGAGGTGCTCGCGAGGGTCAGGTGAGGTCCCCTCACTCAGGCGGCGGATGCGGGACAGCCCCAGGCGAGGATGCCCCTCCTGGAAGGCATGTACGTTTCAAAGGCTCTGGCTGCATTCTGCACATTAGACACCTTTGAGAACCTCTAGGTCAAGAGTCAGAGCCTTGAATTTTACAGAAATGTTACGGACTGAATATGTATGGCAATGGTCAGACATGGAAACAACATCATGAAGATTTTGTCGTTCCACCATTATTTCTAATGCTGCCTTCCTCAAAAGTCTCTCCTCAGTACCAACTGGTTCTCCATAGCATACTTTCTAATAACAAAAATTAAAAAAAAAAAAAAAAACAAACAGATGCATGGTATGCTAGCCATAGGATACCACACAGCTACCTCATGGAGGTGCATGCCATAAATAGAGATTCGCAGAACACAATCAAAAAATTATCATTAAAAGGAATAACACTTACTCAGGCTGCATACTCTGGAGAAACAGTTGGTTTATTAGAGAAGCTGTCATTTGTTCATCCTTGCAATTTCTAGAAGTTTTATTATCCCCATATTAAAAGGTTTATTTCTGGTCTCCCAACTACCTTTTTTTTTTTTTTTTTTTTGAAAGATGCTTTCATGTAAAGACATTATTGTCCCCTCAGTCCTAACAAAGATTAGCCTTAACAGTTAAAATGGTTTTAGGCTCCTTTGCCAACAAGGGAAATCCTTAAAATGGTCTTAAAACAGGAAATCCCTTCTGCCTGGAAGCCAGTTTTCACTGTTTCCTCTACTACAAAAAACCCCTCAAGGACAGACCTAGCCAGGTGAAGTAGAAGAGGTCTTGGACTACCACTGGGGCACAGGCTTCAAGAGCCTGAAGTTCAATTTTTAAAACCTAAACTGTCTATAAGCTGACCAAAAACCGTCAGGCAGAAGAGAATATCAAGATGACCAAACAGAAAGCAGTCTATACAATGTAAATCATGATGGTTTTTGAGAAGAGGGAACTAGTGAATTGGTGTTCTCACTGGCACTGACAGCCCTTTCGAGGATGCAGAGCACTCAGACCAGCAGCTGGAGAAACGGCAACAAGATTTCACCAGTAGCCAACACTATTCCACAAAGCAGCTACCAAAGAGGCCACAAGAGTTTCCACAGCAGAGGGTAATTCCTCATCATACTTCCACCAGGAACACACAGAACACCAGTGACTTATTTTGACATCTTATTTGTTAGGAAAGAACACCTGAAAATTTCAAATGCACAATTTTAAGATGAAGTTTCTAGAAATCCTCTAATTATTATTTTAACTCAAAGTTATCTTGTTAAAAGAAAGAGGCTAGCAAAATGAATGATTAAAGGTCAAGCAGATCTACTAGCTTCTTACAACTCTGCACATGAGGACCGTAATTGTAAACTCAACTCAGAAATTACACCCCGATTTTACATAAGGGTGCTGAATGACAAGTCTTCAAAGGGATTTCTTTGAGCATTTGTAACATCAATGCAAAAGGAGATGACTGGCCCAATATTGTGAAACACTGCTCGTGTAAATCATCCTAATTTTTACCCTTTAAATGCATTAAAATCAGTAAAATCCGTCATCTGAGTGCACCTTCAGCACTGGTCCTTAAATTTCTCCTTTACCCATTAGCAACTACAAGTACAGAAAATGTCATACTCAACCGCTGAGATCCAAAGTCTAAATTTGATGCACAACACAACAAAAAAATTTTTTAGGAAAATCACACTGTTCCATTTACAAAATATTATTAGGCTTCCCTGAGAAAAAAAAAAAAAAAAAAGAGAAAAACTAGGTATCTTTGATCTGAAATAGCCATTTAAGGTTTGCTGGGAGACTTCATTCTTTAACCCAGGAATTGTTCTCATCTGCTTTGTCAATTCATGTTTCATAAAACAGTAAATGCATTTCCTGAATAAATCTGCAAAAAGCTCTTCGTTAGAAGAATTATATGCAATTACATCCCTATATAGGTAGGCATTCACAGTGAGGCAAGGCAATACTCAAAACAAACGGGATCAGTTCCATTTCAAACTTGTTGCTAGACAGAAAATATTTCAAAATTTGTAAAATTTTCAGAGGTGTTCTGATACATACTTTATCTCAAGAGAGTAATTGACTTAAATACCATCAGCATATATTTTTAACTTTGTATATAATTCGTCCAAACTACTATGAAATAACATTTAATTATTGAGAAGAAAAATGCAGAAGAGCTAATTTAATTCACTCAAGTTCACTCAAAATAGAAA